AGCCTTCACTTTCATTGTGCCACGGGGTTTCAACCAGACCCTTTGACTCGCGCGCGGTAGACTCCTTGGTCCGTGTTTCAAGACGGGTCGGGTGGGTTGCCGACATCGCCGCTGACCCCTTACGTCCGTTGTACATGGGCCGGTCCCTGCCCTGGTGACGCAATGCAGTTGTGGCGCACTGAGGACAGTCTGTCCCGGTCGACAGTCACGCCGGGAGCAGGGGGTCCCGTCCCTCCCCGGGTGGGCGTGAGAGAAGACTCAGAGATACTGTGTCCTGCGGCCCCAGGAAGTGGTGAGGTCCGGGCGGGGGTGCTATAAACAAGCCCAAAAGAATGAGAGAATAAGTGAAAATGGCATCACCTGTTCTTGTATTTTGTTTCTTTTCTAAAACATAATTTAACCATTTGAAAGAAGAGCAAGTTCTCTCTTTGCACTTTAAATTGTTTGCACTATAGTTGTTACGTTAAGGAAACTCTGCTCCCAACCACCTGCAGTTAAAATACACAAACAGTTCTATTGTTTACAGTCAAACAAAAATGATTAAATTGGACTGACATGAATTTGTGTAGTTTACCTGTTTTTTACACCTAAAAAAATCCCTAAAAATCAATATCCCATTGTAATACAACTTTAAAAAGATTTAAATTCAACTCCCATAGCAAAATCCATGACAGCTGCTGAAAGTTGGGGTACCTGGAACCTTCTTGGTGAAAAATTGAAAATGTTTACCTCTGCCTTCAGTAGCTTGTGAGGGGTCAAACTAGGGGTTTTTCCAAGATTCTTACTTGATTGCAAGCATTTGTTTTGCACCAATACCACTCCTTGGTGGAACAAAGGGCCAAGCCCACTTTCCCCCACTCATCGCAACCCCCTTTTTTGGTGAAATAAATATGACTGGGTGCATATACATTGAAAAGTAGCTTTATGGGTTTATTTATTTATTTGTCATGTTAAGTACTTATTTGTGTGTTTACTGGTAACTGTTGTAGCTGGTTGGCATTCGCAATGAGTAACTGAATCTGGAGTAGCAGGTGCCAGACATTCTCAAACCATTGTGTGGATCATAGACTGACACAGTACACGCCACACATATCAAATAACAGTTGTCACCACTGTATTATCTACATTTCTTTTACAACTGGAAATATTTCATGTCACAACATTGATAATATGCATAGATGAATAATATAGATATCAAGCAAACACTGATGAGGGTGGCCAAGTCAGAGGGTGAGTTAGAATAGAACAGAATAGAATAAGATAGAATAGGAGAGAATAGAATAGAAAGTCTTTATTTTCATTGCACATTAACAATGATGTTACCAATACAAGAAAATTGTGGAGTTGAGCAGAGGGAGGATGAGAAATAAGTGCTGGATGCAGAACCTCAACCACTTTTCTGATGTCAACTAGCACATGGATGAAGGTGTCAGGAAACATGGGCCACTCCACAAAGGGTATATTTTAGGGTATATTTTTTGCCTTTAATCGATAGGAAAGCGAAGTGTGAAGTGGGGAGAGAGAGAGGGAGTGACATGCAGCAAAGGGCCACAGGCTGGAATCAAACCCGGGCCGCTGCGGCAACAGCCTTGTACATGGGGCGCCTGCTCTATCCACTAAACCACCGACACCCCAAGAGAGAACAACCTCTTCAACCATGGTCGAGACAAGCAGTTGCTTGTGTCCTTCTCAGCAGGATTCACGAGCACTGCAGATGACACAGTCAACATTGAGAGAGCGGCTGAAGTATGGAGGGAGATGCAGATAAAGCTGAGTGGACAGTCAGTGACATAGACCATGGAGGTGAAGTTCAAGTTACAAGCCCTGCCATCGCTCAGAAAAATTCAATGACATGTCAGTGATAAGAAGATTCACCCAAACCCACTCAAGTTGTTCAACTGACTGATAATCTTCACCCAACGGGATATGACATTCGAGACAAGCATTGAGTATGAACTTACTCCCTTCCCCTTGTCCTTGTTCAGCAACAAAGTCCAGAAAATGAACGAGGCCAACAAGGCAGGCTTTTCCCAAGACCAGCCTGAAAGACTTCACCAATCTGCTTGACCTTTCTGACCACCCCTGCTCCACTCTGGTGCTTGATGGGGGATGGCTTCTTTGCATGGTCAAGTGGTAACAAGGTCAGACTTGGCAGGAGATTGTCAACAGTTTCCTGAGCTGTGTGAAGTGTCTTGGCAGTCGCTCTCAGAAGATCATTCTTGTCTTTGATGGCTATAGCAGTTCACCAAAAGATCATGTCCACATCCAGTGTCCAAGAACTCTTGCTGTGATCAACAGTTTGGACCAGGTAAGATACATTTGACACCAAGGGCAAAGTTCATGGACATCCATCTCCTCTCTTCAACATTCTGGAAACATCAGATCACCGTGGAGCAGTGTGACAATGATGCTGCCACTTCGATTGTGGCTGCTGCCACAAATGACTCTGTTGAGGTCAGTAAAACGTTATGAAGCATTGTTACTGTACTTACATTAACTACAATTTTGTGGTTGATATTTTTGCTATATTGTGCTGTATTTTGATGTGCCATGTTCTAATGCAAGTGCATTTATCCTCAGAAAGGCAGAGGATTAGCATTTTTAAATAACATGACAATTGCACAATTTTTGGCACAGTTTTAGACGCTTTGCACATATCTAGTTTATTTTCAGGTGCGGGCAGAAGATACAGATGTGGTAGTAATGCTGGTGCACCATAGCTCAAACACCAATCACCACTCTTCTGAATCATGTCGAAGGGCTCTTACAAGGTCAGGAAGATCCAACAGCTCTCCTTGAAAGACAAAGGAACTACCTGCTCTTTTCTCATGCCTTCACTGGTTGTGATATGGTTTCTGCAATCTGGGGCCCTGGGAAATCAACTCTATTTGACAGGTTCTGTGCAGGAGATACTGATGAACACATGGACATCTTCCTTCGCGACACATTATCACTCCGACTTCGTCACATAGTGACATTTGGTCATGGACTTTGCACATCCACGTCCACTTCCACATCTGTGTACGACATACAAGGTTCCCTGTGTTCCCATGCGCTGGTTGTTGACGTTCTGTGTCAAGTTCTGCCTGTTACATGCTTTGTCTTCTTTCAAGATATACTTCTGTTTTCACAGGAATTTACATTGGTACAACACTGTGAATTGATGTGGTTAGGTTTAGACAACAAAACTACATGGTTAGGTTTAGGAAAAAAAGAATAGGGTTTGGCTTTAGAATCTTATGGGACGCAATCACCGCTCTCTCAGGTGAAAGTCGGTGTTGTTGGACCCATCCACCACCCCTCCTGCCTGCCCCACTCGGACTTAAGCCACCTGAACCTTCGGCCATGTCCCGCTGGGTTTCCCTCTGACGCCACTGGGTGCTGTTAAACTATAACAATGACCGGCCGTGTATCATGCCGACGTTAAAGGATGCCTTTTTTGTTGGTTTCTGATGCTGCAAGTCACTGCCCAAGTGCCGAATTTTGTCTTCAGAGCGAGACCTGGCTCTCCTTGACGTACAGGCTACAAAGGACACACTGATCAGGGCTGGTATGGCAGTTTTCCAGTGCATATACCATGCACCAGGTACAACTTTGGGTGCAACTCGATACAGCATGTTCTTGCGGCTGGGCTGATCAAATGAGAAACTCTACTTTCAACAGAGGGTGCACCTGCACAGCATTCTCTCCATGCCTAGCTCTAAACCTGGGCCTGGATGCTTCTGCAGAGTGTGTCTTTGGACCCCAGGGTTATGAGCCGGTTCCAACACTAGACCCCATGGCTCCTGAGTAGCTACTGCAGTTCACAACTGTAATTGTAATGGAGATTGCAGCAACCGGCAGTGCAGCTGCAAGAAGATTGGTGTCTGGTGTATCTCAGCATGCAGAAGTTGTAGAGGCATTACATGCAAGAACTGTATCCATAATGATGTCTGGAGAAGACTCAGACCTAGACTCCTGAGATATTTGACATTGTAGAGCAGTGTTGTTATCTAACTAGTATTTGAGATATTGAAATAAATGAATAAAGCTATGTCTAAAATTTACATTTAAAATTAGGTGTGGCCCTTTTTTCTGCCAAGAAGTGGTTTTGCTGCACAAGAAAAGCTTGCGATCAATTCAGAATCCTGAAAAACCCCTAGATTGACCCCTCACAAATACTAAAGGCAGAGGTAAGCATTTTCAATTTTTCACTGATTTTTTTTTTTTTTTCGGATACCCCAACTTTCAGCAGCTGTCATGGATTTTCCTATGGGAGTTGAATTTCTATCTTTTTATATGTGTTATTATACACCTTTACAAACACATTGATGAAGAAAATTTTTGGTAAGGAATTTCTTCCCAGATTTTCGCAATATTCCCTGACTATAAGTCATAATATTCAGGTTGTCATTTTATTAGACACTGTGCCACCTGTCTACGCTTTACTGCCCATAGTTTTTAAACACACACACATTAATTGTGGTAATGACTGATATGAGAACCTCACTATATTCAACCTGTTAAAGTCCAGGGGTTAGTAATAAATATGTGATTCACTCCAGAGCACACCTGATTGATGCATCTAATCATTAAAATGGTGAAAAGTCTTCCAGCTGCGCATGGCTGTGTAAAGGGGTCAAATTACTCTCCACAAACATGAAATTGATTAATACTGAGCACAAAGTGTGGCGCTGGAGAAGTTTAACATGTTAGACAAACACAAAGTAATATATTCTATGATCAGGGCATGCTGGTGTTCGTGTGTGGTGTGGTTGGATGCAGAAGCTCTGTATATTTTTCTTCTTTTTGAACCTTTGCCAATCACATGCCTGATTAAGTTTGAGTCTGTATGGAAAAAAAAAAAAACAATTTAAAACATTTATTTTGTTTTGTTTTGGTTTTTTTTTTCTTTGTTTTTTTTTTCATTGAATAATTTTTTACTGTAAAATTTCCACTAACACAAGCCAATGTTCCTCCTCATTGTTCTTTCTCTTCTGTCCCATCCTATCTGTTTTAAGGCTCTGTTAGTTCTGCACCAGCCAGAGACCATAGAATTGTGGAATCCTGATGCCCCCATAGAGACGTTTTGGGACATCAGGTACTCAAAAATCTACACATTTTTCCATAAAGCAGGGGGAGATGAAATGCCCAGCTCTAATCCATAGTTATACCCATGGAGCCACAGTTGTCTGCTGTGACTCTACCATGATGTGCTGCTTTGGGTGCCAGTGGTAGCTTTGCATCTGCAGACCCCTTTTCTGTTTTTGAAATATTTTGTTTTCATTAAACTAAATTTAAGATATACAACATGTGTTATAAGAAAAGTTTTTGGGATTGAAGCCAGGATGCCAGTATGACTTGATAACAGAAGTGCATTGTTTATTGACCCCGTGCCCGGGCTGTGCGCTAGACAGCAAAGATTGTGGAGTAGGTCACTGCAGCTGATTTGAAAACATCATATTGGAGATTGGCTTTTACTTGGTTTTGATGTGAATAAATGTGGTGTGAGATGCTTTACTTAAAGTGCACTGACTGTGTTTGACAGGCTTCAGTAATATTGTCTAGCAGGACATATGAAATTTGAGTGGCTGAAAAATAGGGCTGCCACTAACGATTATTTTCATTGTCAACTAATCTGTCGATTATTACTTTGATTAGTCAACTAATCATTTCATCGAAAAATGTGTTAAAATGTTGAAAAATGTTGGTCTGTCTCGCCCAAACCCCAAAATTACGTCATCTAATGTCTTGTTTCGTACTCACGCCAAAGGGTTTTAGTTCACTGTCACGGAAGAGTGTGTAAAGCTGCCAATATCTGAACATAAGAAGCTGCAGTAAGAGTATTTTGGGGTACTTTTATAGTGCTTTTCTATGAAAAATGACTCAAACCGATTAGTCGACTACTAAAATAGTCACCGATTATTTTAATAGTCGATTAGTCATAGATTAGTCAACTAATTGTGGCAGCCCTACTGAAAAACATTTCTCAGTAGCAGAGGGTCTTCGGACACAACTAATGTGTTAGATTGTGTTTGTTTTGATACATCACCACCACACAGATGGACATGTTTTGTGATTTATTTGTTATGAGCATTGAGAACTCTGTGAGCATTGAAAAGTTTAAAGGTTCCATAAATGATATTCAGAACATTAATATAGCAAAAAAAACCCCACAATTTGCCATGTAAAGATACAGTGGAGCAATGGTGTCCTGAACAGAGAATGAAGTCATGTTCCCTCTGTGTGTGTTGTAATCTGAGCTGCTCTGTTCTTTGTTTTGGCAGCTGGGCCTGCCATGCATGCATGTTGGTGCATGTGAGTCCCACTGGCTAGCTAATGTACACTGCTCTACACTGTGCTCATATAGCAGTTACCACTAATAACATTGTGTCGACCCAGCAGTAGGACGGCGTTGTTGCGGAAGCGCAACCCTCGCCCTTTGCTTCCACCCAGGTTAACAATATAAGGTCTGTCAGCAGTTGTTGCTGTTGGTAGCACTGCTAGCCGCTATTTGGCTCAGCCCCCTCTATATTTGCTAGTAACATCACAGGTGAGAGCCATGTGCAGGCAGTCCTGGCCCAGACTTTGAATGTTGCATATCACACCTTTAAAAAAGATGTGATCAGTTCCTGGGATTTTGTGGAAAGCATTCAATTTCCAGTAATACAACCTGTTTCTAACAATAAGTGCCCTGTTTGTGTGAAAATGGACAAATCTTTATGATCCTTGATGGTCTAAACTTATTAGTGACATTTGGAGGATAATGACCTTCCTCCTTTTTTCCTTCTGACCTCAGTTCACAGGTGCTCTTCCTCATCTGTCGCAAACTGATTGGCCAACAAATGGTTAATGGGACGGAAGTTCTCAAATGGCTGAGGGAAATCCTCATCTGCAGGAACAAGTTTTTGCTTAAGAACAAGGTACAGTCCCATTCCTTTACTGTTGCAGTAGGCTGCTTTGATAGCTACAAAAACAAATGAGGCAGCAAAACAGTGAAAATGACACTGGTATGTTCTAATGACAAGTGTAGTCCTCTTAAAGTATGTTTGGCTGTCTGAGAGGTAGATTTTTGGTCCTTTGAATGCTCAGAAAGGGTTAGATTTGGTGTGGCACCCTGTCTGTGAGAGAAGCAGTTGTGTAAAATGTATGTCTGGTCCTTGATTGTTCCAGGAATTTGCCACTATGGGTGGCGGTATCCCCATCTGCCGGCAGGCGCAGACGAAGCTGGAGGTATGTCTCTACATGTTCCTGTGGAGTCCGGACACCGAGGCGGTGCTGGTGGCCATGTCGTGTTTCCGCCACCTCTGTGAGGAGGCTGACATCCGCAGTGCTGCTGACGAGGTGCCTGTCCAAACCATCCTCCCCAACTATGCCACCTTTAGTGAACTGGCCTCTGTCAGCAACATGATGGGAACAGGTCAGTACTCTTCAAGTTGAGTTGATTCAGTTTCTCACCTTCAATACTAAAATGTAGCTTGAGTTCAGTACTGCACCTCATCTTCTGACAAATGATATGTTTTCAATTCAGATAGACAGATGCCTTAGTTTTCTTCCATCTCTTAACCTCGTGTGATGTAAAGGTGAGGAGAGAACAATGGAATAATAGAGGGCAGAAAATGCTTAAATGTTTTAAACTGGACAGATATCCATCCACATGTTTCCAGATCTTGTAGAATTTCTAGTTGAGCTTTGATATTATCTTCTCAGCAGTGGTGATATAGTGGTGGAGTCAGTTGTTGAGTAAGCACTGTAGTAAGCACTGCTTTTGTTTTCACAATTTTAGAAACCTCATCTCATACTTGGCGATTTTGCAATCATTTAAATATGGCCGGGTGGTCAGTTAAACAGCAGTTTTTGTTGTGTAACAAACTCATAATAAGTTTTTTTTTTTTTTTTTTTTTTTACCCCTGACTTAAAAACAAACACAAAGGAAACTTTATTGGTGCAACTGGCTGCTGCATCTGCACAATTTTTTGTTTGTTTGTGTTTTACATAGGTGGGGAGGTTTACAGTCACCTCTCTGGTATCTCTGCTAAATTTTGAAGTTTTGAACTGTGATGCTGTGTGGCTGCGAGTCACTTTTGTTATGAGGAAGTCAGCTCACCAGTCTGTAAACTCTCCTCCAGTAGACTTCTGCTAGCTGGCCAGGCCAAGGTTTCAAAATGTAAACATCAGTAAACATCCTGGTTAAGATACAGAAGAATGGGCACAGCTGAAGTAGGATCCTGCTAGCTATTGTACTGGCATGGGACAATAAACTGGAGAGCTTTATACCACATAGCTTTCCAACAGGAAATCAAAACTGTAATATCCTTTGCTTAACCATAACTTGTTGAAATCCTGGAATACCAGACTTGTCATTCAGCCAGGTGACTCCTTTTCTATATGCCAATCTAACTGAGCAGAGGACTCTGGCGAGAGAAGGAGAAGAGGCGTGTGCTTTATGGTGAATAAGGACTGGTGTGACAGTGGGAATATGAGTTGCTGTCCACTTCCTCCCCACCCTGTGCCACAAGGGGAATAAACATTTTGGATCACTGATGTACGCCGTTCAGAGGCGGCTACAGAGCGGAGACACTGCCCGTGTTAGGGAGGAGCAACCATGTTGAGGTCAAGAAATATAAACAAACATGGACTCATACCCACAGTGACACAATAGATGGAGCCAATCAGAGTCTGGAGCACGTTCCAGGACACCACCGTGGACGTCACCGAAGGCATCATTGAATTCACTGAGTCTGTGGTGGATGGAGGTGGTGGACCATGGATTACCAGAACCATCCAGGATGTCATAGACACACACACACACACACTGCAGCTCATCTGGGAACATGCACAGTTATAAAGCAGCAGTCTACAAAGTAAGAAGAGCAGAAAAAGGACAGAATCACAGTGCACAAGTTGAAGAAGCTGACATGATCGCATTATCACTGGAGTTGTACCTTGTATGACTCCATGTGACAAATAAATTATTGATTGATTTAATGTCAGTCATCATGGCAGTTACAAAAAACAGAAATACTCCAGTCATGGAAAGAACCAAAACATCTGACTGTGGCTGCCCACGTCATGTCTTCATCTGCATCTCATCTAATCCTGGAGAATGTTCTGTGGCTCATATGGAGTCTGTAAACTTCTCTCTAGTAGAGCATGCCAGATGCATATTAATGTTGGATATTGACGAATCTACTAAACTAATTGTAATACCCACAATATTCCTTATATGTGTGAGCGGAGTTCCAATTGCAGCTCGATGTGATCTAAAAAAGAGATGAACTACATAAATTGTCGCATATAAAATGGCTACTATCGGCCTGTTCTAGGGCCTCAAGTTGGAGACAAGTGTTTGTCTTTTTGTTGTTGTGTTTTTGACAAAATATCAGTTATGCAGATAGCAAAAAAGTCAAACAATTGTTGGACGGACAAAGCTATCAACTCTTAAAAGGGCACATCTTTTCTGACTTCCGGTGGAACGGTAGAACAACATGCACGCTTGAGTCGTGGGCTTCCCTAAGCCAACATAATAATCTCTGCCAAAACTTGAGAAGAAAACACAGGAAGACACAGAACTTTCAACAATGAGTGGAGGGACAACAAGATCAAAGAATAATAAAAAAGCCGATAATCAAAACAAAGAAATTAGCCAGCCGGCGGACGAGAAGAGTACACTAGCATCCGAAGCTAATGACACCATGGCTACATTTCAAGCTAGTTTGGAAGGCATTAGCAAACAAATCCAAGCCCTGCAAAGTGAAATGAAAGCAGACCTGAAAGCGTTCAAGGAGGATATTTCAACCCAAATGAGAAGTGAGCTGACAGAACTCAAGGATGACATTGACCAGAAATTTGTAAAATTAACTACAGAGATGGTTGAGCAAAATTAAAAGATGAACGCAGCACTAAAGTGCATTGAAGATGTTGAGACGTGGAACTCCGAGGCGAATAGTGTACTGCAGGAAATGATGAGAGAACACAAGACCGTGAGGGACAAACTAGATGACCTGGAGTCGAGGTCCAGACGGAACAGTTTCCGAATATATGGCATACAGGAGGATGCAGAGGCGAAGAACGACTCGGTCGCGGCGTTTATGGAAGAGTAGCTCCGGGAGGAGTTTGCATTGGATGGGGACCTGCAGATCCAACGCCCCCACCGAGCCACGGCAGCAAAACCCAAAGCAGGGCAACCTCCCAGATCAATCGTCATTAACTTTCAGCAGTTTAAAGTGAAGGAGATGATACTGAAAAAAGCGTGGGAGAAGAAAACAGTCCAACTCGGTGGAAACAGGATCTATTTTGACCACGATTACACTGCAAGGACACTGCAGCAGTGTAAAGCCTATCTAAACATCAAAAAGACGCTAAAAAGGGAAGGCGTACGCATCCAAACACCCCTAAACAAGATGCACATCCACTGGGCAAACAGAGTGAAAACTTATGGCAGCATGGTGGAGACAACCAGCGACCTGCGGAAAAGAGGATACGAAGTGGAGGACCCCCAGGGCATCACCGGAGAAACCGACCTACTCAAAAGGCTCCAGTTAACCGGGAACGCGGGTTGGAAACAAGTTAGAAGCGAGTGGGGATCGGAAACCGGGAGACAAGCGAGAGAACAGCTGCTTGAGTTTCAGCACGGGGACAATAATGCGAGGCGAGAGTCAAATACAAACTATTTAGTTTGAGTTTAAAGGAAAAGGATTTAAGGACAGACGTGTATAATGTTTCTGTGATGAAGGTAAATTACAGTTCATAATATGATTTGCACAAGAGAGTTATAGATGATGGACATATTGGCTTGAGAGGGACTGAAACATAGCTGCCCACAAGACAACACTAGTATGGGTAGATTAACCCCTTATGGGTTAAATCCCACTGCTAGCAGGGGGCCCTTTCTAAATGTATGGCTTTCCCCCTCAAAACAAAAAGAAAGTCAACATAAAATGAGGGTTGTTGACATCTCTTTGTGGAGGTCACCTTTCTTGTATATAGTTGAACTTAAATGTTCATATTGGTTGTTCATTATAATGTTTAACACACTTAAGTACCTTATTGATAGCCTGTGGGGGAGTTATTACAATGTAAATGGACCTGAAATAATTAATGGAAACCAAACAAGAGATCAAACTTATGTGCTTAAATGTTAATGGTTTAGGAAACCCAGTCAAAAGAGCTAAAATTATAACCAGGCTTAAAAAGGAAAGGACACAGATCAACTTCTTACAAGAAACTCACTTATCACAAACAAAACACGAGAAATTGAAAGGATTTGGTTTCAAAAATACGTTTTATAGTTCACACTCAAATACTCGCAAAAGAGGAGTAGCAATTCTGATATCCAACACAATCAAATTTGAATGTCAAGAAGAAATAAAGGATAAAGAAGGATGATTTATTATTGTTAAAGGGGTAATTGACCGATCACAGATTACTTTCGTCAACATATACGCACCGCCTGAGAGCAGTAAGCAATTTTTCAAATTTTTACTGGACTCTATTGCAGCAGAAACTGAGGGCATTATGTATCTGTGGAGGAGACTTTAATATAATAATGGATTATGACCTGGACTCAACTAGCTGCAAATGAAACAAGAAGCCTATTACAAAAATTGTGAAAAACACATGGGAGGAAATGGGCTTTTTTGATGTGTGGAGGGACTTTCACCCTCTGCGGAGAGACTTCAGTCACTACTCAGCAACACACTCAGTTTATTCCAGAATTAATTATTTTTTTATGCAGAAAGAGAATAGACATAAACTACAAGGATGTTATATTGGAGTAGCTGATGTGTCCGATCACAATGCTACTTGCTTGAAGATTTGTTTAAGTGGTAGTCAGAAAGATACAATATGGAGATTGAATCTGGGAATATTAAACAACAAATTATTGGTGGAGCAAATTAAGACTGATATCCAATGTTACTTGGAGGAAAACAATAATGGTGATACAAATCCAGCCATATTATGGGATGCATTAAAAGCAGTCATCCACGGTAAATTAATTGCAATCACAAGTAACCTTAAAAAAGAAAAAGTAAAACAATATAAGACACTTGAAACTGAACTAAAACAATTGGAACAAAAACATAAGGAAAAATTGACCAAAAGATACAACAACACATGAAAGAGATAAAATAAATTGGCGAATTACTCCAACAGGACGTAAAGACAAAGGCAAGATATTTAAAACAAAATTACTATGAATCGGGCCCCAAAGCAACTAAGTTGTTGGCGAGAAGACTATGGAAACGACAGACAGCGGTCCATAAATTACACGATCCCAAATCTAATCAAATTATATCTGAACCAAAAGAAATTGAAAACATATTCTGAGACTACTACAAAGAACTTTACACTCAACCGCCTTCCTCAAATCCAAATGACATAAAAGCATTTCTCGACACTTTGGATCTACCATATATCGGTACAAAACAAAATGAATGCATAACAAAAACGATAACTATAGAAGAAATCCAGAAAGCAATAGGAAAACTAAAAACAAATAAATCACCTGGCAGTGACGGATTTCTGTCTGAGTGATATAAGAAACTAGATATAGAATTATCCCCTCTATTACACATCACATATAACTGGATCCTGACTAATGGTGTTATTCCTCCTTCATGGAATGAAGCGACAATTACTGTTCTCCCTAAACCATTAAAAGATAAACAATTTTGCCAAAATTATAGACCAATTTCAATTTTAAATGTTGACTACAAACTTTATACCTCTATCATATCAAACAGACTTCAGTCATTTGCATCAGAGTTAATAGATGAAGACCAAACTGGCTTTGTTACAGGTAGACAATCACAAGACAATATTAGAAGAACGTTACACATTATACATAGAATACATAAAAATAAACTACCAGCAGCATTGATAAGTTTAGATGCAGAAAAAGGTCGATAGGGTTAATTGGAAATATTTATATTTAACATTAGAGAAATTTGGATTCAACAAAAATCAATTCAGTGTATCAAGTCTATCTATAACAAACCCTCAGCTAGAGTAAAAGTTAAGGGCTTTTTAAGGGCCTGTCGCGTTTTCACTTGTTGGTTTCCAGTTTCCATCTGCAGGTATCTGTTAGCCGCTGTTAGCGCTGTTAGTGCTGTTAGCAGCGCTGGTCGCTAACAGCTGTTAGTGACGCAGTGTTGCGAGGAGAGGGGTGAGGTGTGTGAGGTTGGGCCACTTGTCTGTTGTCAAAAGACAAGACGTGATTGGTTTGTTTCGATTTACAGACGCCCCAACAGTCCTATATTGTAAACACTGCCAGCAAGGTGAGGAGGGGGTTTGTCAACTCGCATCGTCTGTGTAGGACCCTGAATGAATACTCCATGAAGTATCGGATGACATGGTTTCATCAATGACATGGTTTCATCAATGTTATCATAGCTTTTTGGTACACAGCAGCTACCGTTGTTGCAATACGCGTTTGAAACAGTGAGGCACTAGAGTGCGCTATCCATTTGAATGCAATATACGATCTCAACACTAAATGGGAGAAATTCCTACACAGTGCCTGTTTAAAGAACTAAGGCTCAATCCCAATTCTCATTCTTACCCCTACCCCTTCGTCTACCCCTTCCCCTTCGTCTAGCCCTTGCCCCTCAAAACGGAGTGCCAAGGGCTAGGGGTGAAGATATTCCCCTAAGAAATGGGACAGCACTCGATTACCGCTACATCATCAAACGTTGTCGCTAGCTGGCTGCTACGTCAGCAGAGGCGACAAGTGTTTATCACAAACATTCAAAATGCCGTCTGCAAACGTTGTAATGTCCATTGCTTGGGTTTTAGTGTTATTTCTGCGGCTGTCCACAAGTCGCAGAAATCAAAGGAGGAGAAGATATCTTCAACGCATACAAGTGCTGATGGACCAGTTTTTGGTATGTATGGATTAGCTATAAATAGACGTTTTGTTGTATTTAACATTAACCAAGCTAATCAATGCTAACATTAGCTAACGAGCTTACCTAAACATGTGTAAACATTCGTGTATACATTTATAGCTCGCTTTGGCTGCTCGTTGCGCCATTTTGCCGGTGTTCACACTTAATTGTGGGAAAATTCCACGTACCCCTTGGTTGTTAGTGTGGTCCGGGAAAATCTTCGTTTTTAAGGGCTATTTGGCCCTAGCCCTTGGCACTCGCCCTCGATCCACAGGAGAATTGGGATACCCCTTCCCCTCACGTGAACGCGCAAAACTAAGGGGGAGGGCTAAGGAGTGGAATTGGGATTGAGCCTAAAAATAAATTGGGAAGCAAAATCACTTAAATACATTGGTACAAACATAACTAAAAACCTATCCAAATTATACCATAACAATTATGAACCGATTGATGTCAATATAAGGAAGGATGGACTGGAAGCCCAATTCCATGAATGGGATAAAGTAATCTCAAGATTTATATGGGAAGGCAAAAGACCCAGAATTTACACTACACTCCAATTACCTAAAAACAAAGGGGGCATGGGACTTCCAAAACTAAAAGAATACTTCCATGCAGCACAATTGCGCCCAATTATTAACTGGTGCAACTCAGATTATGTTGCTCGTTGGAAAGACATAGAAATTTCTGAATCTAAATTCCCAATTCAAACAATCATAGGGGAAAGAAAGATTCCTGCACATGTAAATGATGAGGCAGAACTTAATCCGATAACAATATTCACTCTTGATATATGGTATTCCATTATTAAACAATTAAACATAGGAACTGGTACTGCTAAAATGGATAATATCTAACGTTGAATTTAAACCAGGGGAATCTGATCACAGATTCAAACAATGGTTTGGAAGTGGTATAACGGCCATATGCACAGTCATTCAAAATGGTGAGATAAGAAGTTTTCAAGATTTAAAAACTAGACATGACCTAACACAACATGACCAATTTAGATATTTTCAATTGAGGGATTATTCTAATAAAAAAAATCAAAAGAACTAAAGATGAAATACACCCTATCATAAATCTGTTTCTAAAAGCATATTGTATGACTATTCCCAGTGCCGTGTCAAATCTGTACCATTGTCTAATGGATTCCAGGAAGAATTCAACATTGTATATTAAGGCAAAATGGGAAAAAGAGCTGGGCTAGGGAATTCCAGAGGGGATGTGGGATGACGTGGAAAATACAACGATCAACGTCACAATCGCAAAAATGGTGGAAATTTAATAGGGCTGTACCCAAATATTTGGATATTCGAATATTCGTTTCTATGGGTAGGTATCCGTTATGAAAATTTAGTATTCGATATTCGTTTCTTTATTTACTTTATTTTTTTTTTACATATTTTTTTTTGGTGCTAAATGTAGTCTTTTGTTGTTGGTAAATGTAGGTTATCAATAAAAATCAAAACTTTTAAATTGCATTGTTAAAAATGTGAAAATATAGTATAGCCTACCAACTGAGCTTGTATGCATGGCACGCTTGAGCGCATCCGTCTGAGGCTGTGGATCAATGCCAAGTTTTACCACTTTATCACTACTCCCTCTAACTTGTAGCTGTTTTTTCATTATCTTTTGAATTTAATATGAATTATGGAACCGTTTTTGTCAACGTTTGTTTCCCCCGTTTTGTACAATAAATTATTTGTTTAAAGTTTCAATAAGTTTCTTTTGGAGTGCGTGACACAAGTGTGTTTTGAAAACGACCGCGGGCTGTCACCTGCTCAACGCATCAGTACCTTTGGAAGCCATGACAGTAATAGATTATAGATTAATAGATTATAATAATAATGTCAAAATATCATTTACAGACCGATTTAACAGACGATCACTACTGCCCGACCCGCAGGTCCATTTGCGGGTCCCGCGGGTTACGGGTCGAACCGCGCATCACTACTCAGCTCATTCTATAAAGGCTGTACACAACAGTAAGGCTATAGACATTATATTCTATTCAGGCCGGCAGAACCAGCAGCGCATCTGCTCTACAGTGCATGGCACTGCTGATTAACCATTTTATTGCAGCACAGAGTGTCTGCCAGCAACCAGTTACTTACAGAGGCTTCCTACAACTTGTTTCAACGGTTCCGATTTAATCATAAGACAAATTAAACAGGATGACTAGCCAATGTGAAAATCAAAAGAAAGCATAGAATAATGTACTGAAGGAGACTGTTGTGCCATCACATTTTTCTGTGGTTTGAGAGCAAAGATCCGGTCGCCGCTGTGCAAAACTCTGCAATCGAAAAACCCCGGAGCTGGCTCAAGACTAAACCTCCAGACCTCAAACAATGGCTGAACATCACAGACGATACCTTAGTTACCTTAGAAACTCACATACAAGCTGAAAATGAAAGAGGAATGCTTCACAAAAGACTGGGAAAAGTGGTTGTCATATAGATCGAACAAGACACAAGGACAAATGTGACTCAAGTGGATTGTAAACTTCTACCCCCCACAGGCCACAGGCTATGTACACATTTTGTTGCATTTCGTGTTTTTTTTTTTTTTATTTCATGTTTTTTATTTGTATATTTTCCGCCAGCTTTCTGTAAGCACTGCTAAAAGAAATCAATAGACACAGTTACAAAAAAAAAAAAAAAAAAAAAAAAGGGCACATCTTTTCTGTTGACAGATGCAGGGAACCACACCCAAAATAGAATCCCTGGGAAGGGACTGTCTCTGGTTCAACTCAACCATGAACTAGCCCTAAGTCTTGAGGGCGTCACTGTCAATTTCGTGTAATAAAGAGACCATCTCATTGGCAGTGAAGCACAGATCAGAGAGCTCTTTGTTACTGAGGTGCAAGAATGCTTTTCCAAATGCCCAAAGAGGGATATCCTCATCTACCAAAACAGAAACCCCATATTCAGGATATTAGCTGATATGATGGATAGTATAAAACATGAAAAGTATGGTGCATTGTTAAATCTCTGTCAGTAAGCAGAACGAAATCCCTCCATCTGGAACTTACAAATTTACCAGCTGTTGCCAGTGTGAAGACTTCATGAAGAGTTTTGCACTTGTCTCCACAGGCCGGTCCACCTTACAGAAGAGGGTGATGGCCTTGCTCAGAAGGATAGAGCACCCTACGCCAGGAAACATAGAGGTAACATTCAGTTCAAATCCAAACCCACATTCTTCCATGCCTATATATGATGTCAGCTTAGCATTTGTTATTGCTTAGTTTTCTCTCACCTCTGTCTGTGTACTGTTGTTAATGTTCTGTTGATTGTCTGTTGGTTCAACCTTTAGGCTTGGGAGGACACATATGCTAAATGGGACCAGGTGACCAAACAGATTCTCAACTTCCCTAAAAGCAAGGCAGATGATGGGCAGGTAAGCACATGACAGAAGGGACCTCTCCTTTCTTTGTACTTTAAGCCTCGATTTCACAAGCAGTACGGTACAGTTCAGTTTGGTACGCTTTTTTTTGTTCATTTCAGGATGGTACCAATGGAACCATTCCGTACTGTCCCAAATTTTGTTACCCCATCTGTTAGGGTACCTAGCACACAGATCTGGTACTAAAAGGTGGAGTGGTGAACACTGCATTCCATTGATTGGTCAATAGCTGACAGTCACTCTGCTCAGGGCCGAGTTGTGGCTGGTTTTTAGGCCTTACTCACTGTTCATACAGTTAAGAGTTTTATTACTGTAACTATAAAATGAAAGGATGTTTTACTGCCTCCAGCAGCTGTAGTCAGAGTAAAAAATAATTTAATTTACTGTACCGACTGCCGGCGACTTTTAAGGTGGAAGGTAAACTTGTAACGTTACTCATTGCATGAGTTGACAATCTGACTCAATCAACACACCTTGAGTTTCACTTAAACAACTTTGACCATTGATTTAGTTTTTATATGACATACACTTTTAGTTATGAGTGGATCTTCAAGCATTTATATATATTAATTTCAGCTGGGTTATGTGAACTGCATATATCCCAGTCCTCAGTTTTGTGTTGTTTGTTTATTTTGTTCTAAAAATGTCTGTGTGCAATTCTGGGGACAACAAACGAGGTGCAGACTTCCATCTGTGTCACCGGTAATGAGGAATTACAGTTAGGGCTGGGCGATATAACCAAAATCTCATATCACGATATAGGTCATTTCATATCCCGATAACGATACATATCACGATATAACAAATTTTAATCCAGTGAATAAAAAGTTGCCCCCACCACCACCGGCATAAATGTGTCTCCGTGTGTGCTTTTACGTAGCATGCAGGTGTTCCGGATTTAGAGGTGTGACAGAGATCAGACTGATCAGAGCTTTAAACTCTGCCATGAGGGAGTACAAAAACGTTGCTAGGATGAGGGGAGGACATTTCTCCTCGTTTAATAACATTACGATGAGTCGGGCAACCGACTCATTTTAAAGAAGATGAAAGAAAAAGAGAGAGAGAGAGTGAGCAGCTGTGGTTGAGCAAGCTAGAGAGTGAGTGAAGAGAGGGAGCGCTGGTAGTGAGAAAGCTGGTGAATCAGATCAATGAAAAGTTATTTTCTGATTGTTTCACAGCGGTTATGTTCTAAAGCACAAACACGCCCACAACCCCACACACGCTCAACACTGAGGCTGTACTCCGCACCACCTGATTTGGTCTGAATATTGTTGCCGTCTCGCTGCATCTCTGCGGGGCTGTTTGTGCAGCACAGCAGAGACAGACAGCGGAATTATATAAACTCGTTATGTTACTGTAAGTACCGTAAAAGCTTCATGAATTAAAAAGCCAAGAAGAGAAATTTATCAATGTGATCCACGCAAAAGATATTGCCGTAAAAAATGTAATTTGCGTCACAACGATATAAACGATAGGGCAAAATATGAAACTATAGACATTTTTCTCTTGTCACACGATATATATTGTCATATCGCACAGCCCTAATTACAGTGAGTGCTGGACCGAGCTGTGAGTGACGACAACCCCGCCCACATTTAAGGGCACTGTTTGTGGTGGAAACGCTAGGGTGTAGGTACCATGTCTGAAGGCTTAGTTTTGATTCCAAAGGTAACATACCAAAAGTGTTTGGTGGAAACGGGGCTTTTGAGTGATGGCATTGATGCCTCCTCGTGTTGCCACAAAATCTGCGCTTGTGGCTGTTGGGATGGGTCTTCTAGTTAAAGTAGTTCAGAGACGTGTCCCAGATGCTGCCACAGTTTCCAAACATGCTTGATTTTCTTTCAGCAAAAACTGGGTGTGCCTGTTGTTATGGCACCTTTGAAACGAGTCTGAGACAAGAAAAGTTGAAAAGGCGACGGAGATTACTAGAGAGTTGTCTACCAGCAACAAACCCTGTCTGGTCAGGATGTATTATCTTACTTATAACAGGCTCAATTCTAGCTGCCAATACTTTGGTCAATATCTTATAATCATAGCCAAGTAAACTCACTGAGCGGTACGATTCACATTTAAGCGGATCCTTATTTTTCTTAAGGAGCACAGAGATCATAGCCTGTGACATTGTTTGAGGCAAAGTTTTTTTATCAAGGACCTCCTTATATACTCTACAGAGTAGGGGTATCAGTTTGGGCGCAAATGTTTTATAAAATTCACTCGGGAATCCATCTGGGCCCGGCGCTTTATCTGTCTTCATATTCCGAATTGCATTCTCTATCTCCCTTGCAGTCAGAGGTCCCTCTAATCTACCCCTATCTGCCTTCTCTAGGGATGGCATTTCCAGATTTTCAAAAAAATTCTTCACTCGCTCCCTGTCATTTATTTCTGAGGTATACAGATCCTTATAAAAAGACTCAAATTGGTTGTTAATACCTTTCTGATCTATAATTTTGTTTCCCAGATCATCTCCTACCTCCACTATCATACCAGCAGCTGCTGACTGCTTCAGCTGGTGGCTCAGGAGCTTACCTGCGCGCTCACCATGCTCATAGAGATCCTGTCTCAACCTAAGATATAGATCCTCCTCACGTTGATTCATTAAGACATCATATTCAGTTTGGAGCAAAATCCGCTTTCTATGTAGCTCCTCAGAGGGAGCTGTAGAGTTTGCCAGGTCAACTTCTTTTATTGCCTTTGTTAATTCTGTGATACGTTTCATCTTTCTTTTCCTTTCAGCAGCATTATATGAAATTATTTGTCCTCGTATATAAGCTTTTAAGGATTCCCACAAAATGCCACTACTTATATCAGGGGTATCATTAAGCTCTAAGAAAAAGTCTATTTGTGAGTTTATGAATTTTGTAAAATCGTCATCTGCCAATAGCCTGTTATTAAAGCGCCACATTCTCTGAGGTGACGTGTTCTCAGGAAAATGAAGTTTCAATATGACTGGGCTGTGATCGGATATTACTATACCAGAGTATTCTATATGTGTTACTATAGAGGTCAATTTATTATCTAATAAGACTTAGTCAATTCTAGTATACGTCCGATGTGGCGGGGAGTACTGCCTGGAGGTTGGGTTTACGAATCTCCATGGCTCAAATATACCATATACCTTGCAAAAGGAGTTAATGCATTGTGCTGATTTACTTAATACATTGGATGTTGGGCTAGAGCGGTCCAGAGTTGAATCTAGGACACAATTTAAGTCTCCTCCTAGAATCAGATTATGAGTATCCAAATTAGGTAATAATGAGAATAAGTCCTTAAAAAA